CTGGTGTGAAACAACGATTCATCATGGACACAGGAAGCAGCGAATCTATCCTACCGAAATCAGCACCCACTGCTGTTTGTCCCAATGCTGTTCTAGCCCCGACTTCAATGTGGATTCATGGGTTTACCGGTCATCGATTGCGATTACTTGGTGAGACGTGTTGTGCGTTCATTCTGAATCTGGTGTGTCAATCCCTATTTGATTCAGAGCATCAGCCCACAGTTCGTTCATTCTGGGTCTACGAGCAATGTGGGTACTACAAGGGTCAATCACCCTACATACGAACAACGATAAGCCAATCACCTCACATCTTCAACATTTGGTTGTACAGTGTTTCGTTAGCGTTGGTGGCATGAAGAAACCGACGGTAGCGTTGGACTTGGACGGTGAACCTGTTTTTCTAAAAGGACGCGTTCTCCCACACGGTCAACGGAAAAGTGTCCTAAAAGCGTTACAGAAAATGAAAAAAGACGGTGTGATAAGCAAAGTTGAATCCAGTGCCTGGGCGACCCCGATTGTCGTAGCGTTGAGAAGTGATGGTAGGACACCACGGATCTATGGATACCATCGGCTGACGTTGAATCCCCGTTTGAGGAGATGTGCAGCGACCACCATGGAATCAGAGGATTTTATGCAAACATTGCAAGGTTAACATTATTTTCCACGATCGATTTGGCGGACGCATACTTACAGATTCTACTCAGTGAGGAACCTCGCTACTTGACAAACATCAACACTCCCTGGGGAATGTACCAGTGTAATTTTCTCCCGTTCGGATCGAATTTTTTGTCTGCCCTCCTTCAATGGGCAATAGACAATGTAATAAAAGGACTCGACGGTTTGCTTGCATAGCAGAATGACGTCCTCATTTCCAGCCTTAATAAGAAAGAACACGTTGTCCGTCTTATGCAGCTGCTGGAACGATTCGACGNNNCGCCAGGAGAGTGGCAATCAAGCCGTACAACTGTGTTTCGTGTGAGTGAGTTGGAGTTTCTAGGATTCCAAGTTGATGCCCGTGAATACCGTCCCGATCCGAAACGTTTCAAACCATTGATTAACATCGAATCTCCAAAGGATCAAACACACTTGAGATTAGTGATAGGATAACTACAGTACCATTCCCGATGCATCCCGAAATTTACTACAAGGGCGCAGTCGCTTTTCCGTGCTTAATGTTCAGACTCTTGGGAATGGTTGATGGAGAGTTAAGATATCTTACGTGGTTTAATTCGCTGCGTTACTGATCGTCCTGTTTTGGCCCAGTTTTCACCATCAAAACCTACCACACTAATCACCGATGCGTCTGACGTCGTAATCGATGCTGTATTGAAACAAGAGGGATGCCCAGTGATCTGCATTTCATGTATACTTAATGTACCTGAAAGGGGATACTCGCAGACTCAAAAAGAAGAAGCGTTGGCTGCATTTTGGGCAGTTCGACGATTGCACAAGTATCTTTTCTGATTGCTATTTATCATCATCACTGATCACCACTTATCTCTGATCACAACAATTCCTGTTCAACCACAACAAATCCATCGCGAAGTCCACCGACGCTATGCTACAGAGATGGAGCATCGTCTTAGCTGCGTACAACTACGACATCCAACATCATTTCGGAAAGACAATCCTGCAGGCTGAATTCCTCTGTCATTACTCACGATTTTCAGTGGCCGAACAGTGTCAACAGTATCACTCCAACATCACACGTGTCTCGGGAGTCTTTGCGCAAATCTGCTAAGCAGTACTACTCGGCCATACTCTCAACGATCAAGAAAGGGTTATCACCAGAAGGTAAAGTAAATGACTACAGGAAACGCGCTTCTTGGCGTACTTGAAACATTAAGTGTCCGGAAGTTAGTGCAATCCCCAAAACTGCTGTGGTCTGAAAAAATCAATTATAACAAGTGTTATAATTTTAGAAGGCGATGCTGGTCCAGAATAATCGTTTATTGAGGAGTTCAGATGGGATATCAGCCATTTGGCATACTCACAGGTGAGTTGTATCTCACAACAATCTCTCAGCGGGCAATGAGTTCTTTCTTCGGAGAGTTCGAACGGCTCCGTATTTGGTTGATAGTTTCTTGTGGTTTCATGATTGATTTTTGGTGACCCGACCAGCAAGTTGATTTCTGACGACTCTTTGGCGTACGGCTATGATTCCAGCGCAATCTTGAGAGTAATTTCCCTGCCCCAAAGTCACCTACACGGCGTTCGACATGATGCTTGTACTCTGCTTCCGGCACTTTCAGAATTGCAAGTGGCTTCCGTTTCACCGGCATTCTGAACTTGCTAATAGTTTCGTTTTGCGGTCTGGTAAAAGTTTGCTTGTCTGTTGTTATTCATGGGAAAAGTTCGATTTAATGCGCTGTCAACTTGCGGTGCGCGTTCGTCAACTGTCTTCACTGCCATACTCGAGACTTCTTTTGACTCGTATGACTGAGGTTCCGCCATATAAACAGCAGTTCTTGAGAAGCGCTCGCAGGGCCGTCAACTTATCCCGGTTCGACCGAATTCCCGCCAGCTCCGCGACGTCCTCGAACTCCTCTACGAACGTCCGCGAGTCTTCTTCCTCGAAGGCATCAGACCACGACATCTTCATCCTGATCCTGGCGACGGCACCAGTCGATATGGTCCAAAAGGTGGTAATGGTCGAGGGTAGTCGGTTATTGAGAATTTCAGATGGAGGAGCACCAATTTGGCATACATAACACAAAAGACGAATCAGAAATGTACCATCTCAGTTCCTGGCCACACGAAAGGTAATGAATGTATAAATCGATACTTCTTCTTTGAGACCCAGCAAATTGCCGTCAGCGATCTTGTTAATTTTTGATCGTTGAAAGTAGTTACCTACTACTCACAGGTGACTAGTATCTCACGACACAAGGATAGCCAAATTTAGATGATTGACCAGAATCCTCACCCAATTCATATGATTGACAACAATCCGGTCAACTAATCATTTTGAATATGCATTTTTTTATCTCTTCCCTGTAGATAATCATAATTTTTGTACAACCAAAGAATTTCTACTCACTTTCAGCTGCTCTAGTTCACTACCTGTGGAATCATTATTTCTAAGAGATTCGTTATCAGAGGACGAGAACTTGAGAATTCTGTATGATCAAAACAGAAAGGATCGGAATTTTAACTAGGTGACATAACAGAGGATCTTTATACAAATTCACGTGTACACACACCACTATGTGTTCGATGGCATCTTAATCTGATGAAGTAAAACATAGTTTTGTTGATTAAGAAGAAATGCCTTAGTAACTTGTTCTGTCCTTTGAGAGAAATGTAGGGCCTTTCGGGATCATGAAGTTCGCACCACCAGGGTTAGAGTCTATTATAGGTGTAGTGATGTAACCTGTAGCGTGTATGGGATTAACAGCAAAACACCATCGGAGGAATTATGCGTCGCAAGACGAAATAATGGGAAAATCATCTATGAGTTCCCTGAATATGGTGCGGTTGAAGGTTTTCAACGACACTGAGAGAGAGGAGTATAAAACCTATCATCGAAAAAGTATAAAAAATTCAACAAAATGTAATGAAAATAGATTACTTATTCAATTTTCAGCACAGTTTATTGTTCCGACGGGCGCTCCGTGCGTTTTCGAAGTGCACGCTAAACTGGCTGATCTACGAGTCCAAATCGATGACATTCACCGATTCACATAACGACCAGTCACCAAAGTACCTTGTTCAGGACAACCTATTGTCTCGATTGATGATGTTTAGCGGTTATATTTTGTACGGAACATTAAGTTTGACTTCTATCTTTTCTGTAGTTTGAATCCAGAACGATTCATTGTAAGCTGACAAGGTCAAACCTTGACTATTATTCAGAATGAGTGAACCTCTTTTAAGGTCAGTGTTTCTAAATTCAGGGCGGATTGAGTTACACAAACAGTTGCATGCCATAAAAAGTCGGTTAAAAATGGAGTCGAATAAATCCAAACAAAGGATGGGTCCATAGGTAGAGATGGTTTTTCGAACAGCTCCGAATCAGCAAGAAATCTTTGAACAACAGATCCGGAACGATAACAACGTAACAGTAAGCCGGATGACAAAATGCGCCTAAAATTAAGTTTGGAAATTATATACACTAGCAAACCTCAAATCCCGAAGAGACGCGATTTAATACTTCATCTTTCTGAC